GATCCTATCATTCAGATAGTCCCAATAGGTAGTGTATTTAAACATTAATATTAATATTATATTTATATTTTTTTGAGTTAATGTTGATGAGCGATCTGCTTTAAATTTTATTATAATTTATTGATCAATGATACTATCTTATAGAAAATACATTCAAAAGCACAAAATTTGCAACCTGGTTAAATTTTCATTTTAAAAATATGTATATAATTAATTTTGGAACTTTACCATGCTATTTTACAAATAAGAAAGAATGCTGATTGCGAACTTAACAAGAATTTTTAACATGGTCCAAAAAAGGTGCATTCATATAATATGATAATAAACATGCCAATAATTATATCAAAACAAGTACATAGGAAAATATTGCCACATAATCAGTTGAGGAGTATTACAGAATTAAGATTTTTATACCACTTATGGATATTTTTTTAACTCAAATTAGATAACGCTTATTGAATCATAAACTGTTGCTCAATAACTTTCAAATTTTGTTATCCTCTAATCCATCATTGAGCATCTAGGATGAGATTAGAGATAAAGTTTACTATTTATATATGTTTTCTTTGCAAGATATGTTAGGGACATAATTGTAAGCAATTTGAATTTAAATATTGGTATGCAAGCTTAAACAGAATTGAACTAAGTGCACTTTGTAAACACACATTTATAAACTTTCCAACATTACAAAATTATTTCAAATTTTAACATGCCTTCTTATTATGACATGTACTAATGAAAGAACTTTCTCTAATTTACGAAGGCTAAAAACATATTTGCGAAATACTACCTCGTAAAATAGATTAAATGGCTTAGCGATCATAAATCATCAGGAATTAACATCAGTTAATTCTGAAACAATTAATTAATTATCAAATTCTAAAAGAAAATTAGATCCAAAATTATTAATTATTACCACGTTTTTGTATAATATATATATGCATTTTATTATATTTTATATAAACTAATAAAAATATATTTCCTATTTGTTCCAGACTTATTTTTTGATATAATCTCTTAACCAATTTCGTATATTTTAAATAAAGATAATTTTTTATTAAATTGAAATTCCTATCATGTAAATATATGATTATATAGACTAGAAACTCGGCCGATGGTCGGGCAAAAGCGGGCCTAAGACCCGCCCAAAATGGGTTATGGGAGCGATTAATCCCCCCCCCCCCATTAGGAAAATAACTCGGCCGATGGTCGGGCAAAAGCGGGCCTAAGACCCGCCCAAAATGGGTTATGGGAGCGATTAATCCCCCCCCCCATTAGGAAAATCCACGTTAGGCCTATGATTTCCAGAACGTTTATCGATTCAGAGAACCATTACGTTCCAAAGATAAAGAAGCACGCGTCTTGTTGTCTGGAAGAGGAAGTTTTACCATTTTGTTTATGGGAAAAAATTTTGTTTGATCACGTATCATAAGCTAGAACCTTTGTTTGACAAAGAAAGATATCTTCCTAAAATATCCAATAATCCTTTAACAAGATGGGCTTGGACGATTTCAATATTACTCATAGGGCTGGTAGATAAAATGTTATAGCTGATACATTATCTCGATCATCTATTAAGGAAGATACAATAATCGAAATGATAAACATTCTAATCATATTCGTCTTAATGATTTGAATGACATATTAAGATAAGAATAAAAAATAGATGGGGAACTCAAGAGTGTAGCTCGTCAAATTCAAAAAGTTGAAGGACATTTAATAAATTCGTGAGCCCGAGCTGTTATTTCTATCCCCCAAATGAACTAGCAGTGGATAATCATGAGTGGAATGGTAGGATGGTTATTCTGAGAACACTGAGATGAACTGTCTGACTTAATCATCAAAGTCATCGGGAATGACAGTTAGAAAAATATTTTTAATCATATTATTGGTAGCCGGGCTGTGATAATAAAATACAGATTAGGTCAATGGTTATGCTGGTTATCAGAATCACAGACCTAAAATAGCAGAAGTGTCTTTGTTCTCTTGGAATGTATGTTATGAAGCGTGGAAAAATTTACATATAGACCTGGCAGGATCATTGGATTATTGTTATTTGTTAGTTTTAGTTGATTTTTATTTAATAGAGGCAACTCGTTTTAAAATAAAGATTGCCGATACAATTATTAGAAGTTTGAAGGGGTGGTATGCAAGATTTAGGATGCCAAGGCAAATATTTCCGACAAAGATCTATGATTCATAGCACGAGAGGTTCAGTTGTTTTGTTAATCAAAATATATTATTCCACCTTATCATCCTAAGACGAATGATCAAGTTGATAGAATAATTCGCTGACTCAAGGGAAGATTGAGAACTGTATGAAATTGTGGAACAGATTCTAAATATACCTTAAAAGATGTTTTGGTAACATAGCGTTAGCGTATAAGTGAACATAGTACCACTGATCGAAGTCCTGCTAAGATAATGTTAGACAAGCAGACAAAACCCAGCTTCGATTGAGTCAGGATGCCCGTAATGAAATAGAAAAATCACAAAATTTACCAAAAATGAATCACGATTTAAAATGTAACATACGAGATTTTAAAGATTCTCAACCGGTTTGGGTCAGAACTAAAGTAAGTCAATCTGGTGGAAAGGAATGAATAATTCATGATTTATAAATATTCATATATTGTTGATTCTGTTAGAATTATAAAACATGCTGATCAAATGTGGGGAATAATGGTGTTATAGCAACTTGATAAAACATTCAAGTAGTAGTTTAAGATTATAAATTATAAGTAAAATACTTATTGAAGAATGATTTATTTTGGGGAAATATAATATAGTATGTATATATATTATTATAGAATTCTATATTCTATTTTATTTTATGATAAATTATTAGTTTATAAATTCATTGTTATATGATAAATAAAAGTATAAATTGGATATACAAAGTATTAATTGAATACCTAATAATTTGATCAGCAAATACAAGTATAATTAATTATAGCAGAAGATGTTTATGAAACACGATGTGTAAAGTGGGCCTCAAAGGAGGGTAATTTTATCTAAACAAAGTTTAAAAAATTTATAGATACCTTTTAAAAAATAATTTAGCACCTTTTAATATCCTCTTTTGTAAAAAGCTAATCCTGCCCCTGACTTTATCGTACATTATTTTCCCTAAATTTTCCTTGCCTCATAGCAATGCTATTAAACGGCCCGAATTGGGTCGATTTTTAAAAAAAACTCGAATATGATTTTAGCCACAACAATATTATGTAAGCCTGGCATCTTATACCAAATCTTGAAGCCTACATAATAATATTTAAAATCATAATCGGGCATTTTTAAAAATTTGACCCGAATTCGACCGTTTAACAACACTATCTCAGAGCCAATAAAATAACAACTTAATTTTTATATTCTTATCAAAGAAATTGGTGATATTTCATTTATTTAATATTTCTTATAAATTAGATTTTTATATTTATTTTCTAATAATTATAATTCATAGACAAAACTTTCTATATCCATATTACATATATTTCCGATCTCTCGCAAATTTTTCTTTTATTTCATCCTATTTATCTTTAATCCATTTTCCACAATCATAGGCTTAGCCAGAATCATGGGGGGAGGGGATGTAGGCCATTGGCTATATTCGATTTTAAAAAAGTAATTCTGAGTTTTATACTGGTTATTTTAAAAAGTTATTAACTTTTACCAATTTTTCTTTTAAATCTATTTCATAGTGATATATTGTATCAGTGGCGTAGCTAGGAATTTTTCTTAGAAGGGGTCCATACATATAAAAGCCTGGGGGGCTTCGCCCCCAGACCACCTTTAACGGGCCTTCGGCCCTTTCCCCCGGCCTTCGGCCGGGTTAATCTTACAAATCATAACCATATCTTTTACAATATATAATATATATTTTTTTTAAATGCATCAATAATATGTTATTATAATTTAGTAGATTATTCTCAATGACTTTATAATAGTACTATCCAGAATAATTTCAATAGTAATATAGAATCCTTCTACAAACAGCAAAACCAGAAAAATATAAATACTAATGGCATTTATTTGATATAAAGTCATTTTTAAGTCTTTTGAGCGTATAATCTAGAAAAAAGATTTAGCTCTGGGAGGGGTCCAAACCCGAAAACCACCCCCGTAGCTACGCCACTGTATTGTATATATTTTTGGAGGTTAGTGATTGGGGAAGGAGTTTTTTGCTTAAAATGATATTTAAGGCAAACCCACTCCCCGGCTACCTATATTTACAATATTACTTTTCTTAATTAATCAAATTTACCATAACAACAAATTTCAATAAACCTCAATCATTTTTCCACATATTATTTATTTAATATAAACATTACCATTCTCCCAAAATAGATAGTATCATTATATTCAAATATCTAATTTCAATAATTACATTAATGATCATTATTAAAATGTAAAATTATAATTCATAATAGTTCATTACATATCCATTTTTCCAAATATTTCAAATCCAGTTAATTAAAATTTTCCTTTATTTCTGGTTATATTTAAAAAAAACTTTAAGTTTCGTTTGATATATATTCCAGAGAAGAGATAACTACTTGCATAAAAATTTAATTAGTTAATTAATAGTTTTTATATCCGAGTTAGCAGTTTTTAGAAAGAAACTCATATAAAATTTTAAATTATCAAGAATTTATTTTGAAAGGTGTGGAGGGGGGAGGGAATATATTTTAAGGCCAATACCTTTTTTTCTCAGCCATTAGAAACATAGTTAGGGGCCAATAAATTTATATGAAGGTACTGGAGTCAAACCAGCTGGCAGAATAATTATTCATACTAGATGAATTAAGTTTATATAATAAAGAAATGTTAAATATATATCTTGTTTAATAATTTATTACTTAAATAACATCAGCCTCTATTTATATAATATTTACTACCTGATAAATAGAGATTATTAAAAAATAAATAAAGTGATCAATTTAAAATGTTTAACACTTTTTAACTCAATACCCTACCGTGAATTAGAGTTATAACCAAATTATAAACATCACAAAGTTTATTTTACTTTACAAACGTGAAGTTAATCTAGATGGCAAAACTTTTAATAAGAATTTTATATATAAATTTTATGAGATATAAATCACTTATATCTTGATTAAAGCGCACTTAAGTTTTTAAAAAAAATAAGCGACAGTATTTATCTTGAGCTTAGCTATGGCACAAGAAAAATTACAAGATCAAACAGAGGTTCAAATATTTATTTATATTTTATAATATAAAATCAAACATAGTGTCCGCTATGTATGGAGCCTCTAGAAATAGACGATATGAATTTTTACCCTTGTACTTGTGGTTATCAAGTATATGCCTATAAATATAATTGGTTGATTAATTTAATTATGCTATAAATGTTCAAATTATTTCATATATTTAATTACAGATATGCAGATTTTGTTGGCATAGAATTAGAACAAATGAAAATGGATTATGCCCTGCCTGTAGAAAAGTAAACTAAATTAATTAATTTCTTTAAAGGTGTTTTAATAGCAATATCCAGAAGATCCTGCAGAATATAAACCACTCACTGCTGAAGAGTATTTTATCTACCAATTATTTGTTAATAAATTTTATTAGGCTACAGAAAATCAAGAATGAAAAGAGACAAAAAGATTTCCAGAAGAAGCAAAAAGTTTCAGAAAATCGTAAAATGTTATCTCAAGTTAGGTAAGTATTATTTTATATAATATTATAAAAATATATTTAAATTTATCTAGTTATTTAATATTAATTCATTGTGAATTCAATTATATTATTTTTAAATGAACTTATATTAAAAAATTAGGATAATGATAAAAAAGGCTATTGACTTTATTTTTTTTTTTTGGCCCTTTAATTTATTTTAAAAGTGAAAATTTTAAAAGCATTGAAAAAATAGAATGCTCAATTATTTCCTATATAATTTCCTTCCCAAATTTAAATAATCTTTTTTCTTATTAATTATCTTGATTTTAAGAAATATTTTATTACATATATATTTCCTGTGCTATAATAATTAAAGTCAGTTGAAATATTTATATAACATTTTATCATTCATAGAATTGTGTTAAATTAATATTTATAAAAAATATTTGTATTAATATTAAATTAATTTTAATTTTTCTTTACAAAGTTATCTTAATAACTATTTATATTGAGGTTTTTTTTTATTGTATATATATATTCTTTTCTAAATATGGCAAATCAGAGACTTGGAAGAGGGCTTGACCTGTACAGAATAGCCTTAAACCCATTTTATATTGTTTTGGGCTCTAAGTTAACATAATTTAAAATTTATCTATTAACTTTCTTTTGGTTAAATATTAATATATACTAAATTGATTTAATATAATTTATTTTCTTGTTGAAATAATATTCAAATGTTTTTTATATACAATTAACTTTTACCAATATAATATATATATATATATACTGATAAATTGAATAATATTCATTATTTTATTACTTAAATAAATATTCTTCTTGTCAAATTTGATCCATAAAATCTCTAAAAAAATATATTATATATATTTTTAATTTTTATAGCTAATAATGATGATTTAAAATATTTGGGTTTAAAATTTATGGCCTGGCCCAAGTATTTTAAAAAAATTTCAAGCCAGGCCTGGGTATATTTAAAAAAATTAAAACATCCTAGTCTTAGGGTCTGGCCTCCAGGGATCTGATTAATATAATCTAAATTTATTAATCTGAGTTAAAATGGTTAAAAAAAATTGGGGCTTTGATATGAATCTTCAGGTTCTCTGAAATATTATATTTTACTTTTTGCTAACTCTGATAATTTTTGTTTACATTAAATAACAACATTGTGCTTATAAATTTTTTAATAAAATTATCATACCAGTTTTATTATTATATAATTATAAAATATGTATATATATTCTAATAATTTTTAAATAAAACTCATTAGCCTATTATATATTTAAAATAAACAATAATTATAGCAATTTAACAATTTTTCATATAAACATATATATTAATAATTTGTTGATGTTATATTTGATTTGAAGTTTACATTAACATTTTGTTAACTAAAGTTTTACTTTAAATTTTCAAGAACACCTTTCAATGTAAAAAGTAATCATGACAGATTCATTTTCTGATAAGCCAGGGCACAAAATTTTATTAAATCTAATAAAAAAATTATAAAATTATATTTCAGTAATTACTTACATCACTAGTTACATTGCAAGTTATTTTATAAATTGTTATTTTTTTATATACAAAATAATTATAAGGAATTTGAATGAAAATACAATTTAAATAAGAAAATAATTGCACCGAAATAGATATACAACAACGAAATATTTATTTGCATTAAAAAAATATTATATAATATTTATTTGCATTAAAAAAATATTATATAATATATATTAGCATTGAGAAAATATATAAATACATAACTAGGGCTGTGTCTGTCCACAAATTTTACACCGATATTACTAAAAAAACCGATCCGATATTTATTAGGGCTGTGCCGATATTAAATATCGGACCGGCATTAAATATCGGACCGGCATTAAATATCTGACCGGCACCGATATTTAGCATGGCCGATATCATTTTACATTAATAATATTTTCTAAATAATATTTTTTTAAAAAATGCAAATGCACAAAACCCCTTTAATTTTATTTTTTAAATAAATGCATAGTATTTTAAAAGATTTTTTTATAAAAATAGAAAGGAACACCCAAAGTTTTATTTATTTTAAATCTTTTTAAATAATAACGCCAATTTTATTATTTATAATAAAAGAATTTTTTTAAATATGGTATCTGAATTATGGAAATATTTTACAAAAGAAATAGATAATTTTGCAAAATGCGTTATCTGCGGATTCTAATTTCACGGGGAGGAATAATGAAAAATTCATTTAATACTACCCAATATCCGTAAACTTTTTTTAATTATTAGAGAAATAAAAAAATTAAATAAAATGCATAATTCGATTTTTTGCATAAAAAATATTTGATTTCTTAATTACATTTAGTTCAAAGAGGGGTGGTGAAAAATCAATATAAATATCGGATCGGTTTTGAACCAATATCTGATCGGATCGGTGAAAAATATGTGAATCGGCACAGCCCTAACAATTATATTGATTTTTAATTACCATCTATCTTTGTACAAATGTTAAATATATCAATATTTTTTATTTTAAAAAAACCAACTAACTTTCACGAAGAATTAATTTTATTTTTTTATTCTCCAAAAGTTAATAATCTCATTTTAAATATTTGCAATATTTATGGCTGAATGTAGTGTTGTTAACAGCTTCATTTAGTTTTTTAAAAAGGACTAAATCAAAATTTTAGCCAAAATATTATTACCTAAGCCTCGAAATTTCACCAATAGAAGTCAAAATATTTCTGCCATCTATAGACAAAATCAATTGTGGGTAATTTACTTTTGGCCAAAATCTTGAATTAAACGTTTTTAAAAATTAACGAAATCGAGCCATTTACCAATACTAGATGAATGTGACTCGTTAGATACTTTAAAATCCATTTCTTGTTGCAGATAATATAACAAAAAATAGTTCGACTATTTTTTTAAACAAATAAATTGTATTTTGGTTCCTTTCATTAATTTTAACTATGAAATTTATAAATTACATGATTATATACAATAACTAAAAACAATAAAAAATATCGGTTCGATTTGATATTTTTGAAAACGCGAAATATCTGTGCCGATCCAATATTTAATATCGGCACAGCCCTATACATTAGAGATCATCAAATTACGGCCCGTACCGAGCCCGGTCCGGTTTCAGATCAGGCCAGATCTATTTTTTAGAAATATTTTTGTTTCGGGCTGGTTTGAGTCTAATAATTTTAAAAATTTCGGCCGGATTTAAATTTTTAAATATGATATCATTGAATTTTGTCAAATAAATTGATATAATTTAAAATTATTACAAGAAAGAAGGTGCTAATATTTTATTTGTAGAATATTCTTTTTACAATCAAAAAAAAGTAAATTTATCTATATTAAAATAAATTTGAGCCGGGCCGGGCGGACTAATAATGTTTATTTTTGGTCGGGCTTTTCCAGACAAATAGAAAAATTTGATCCGGTAGGGCCATACAAATTTTTTAAAAAAAATATTGGCCGGGCTTGAAAAATTATGCTCGATGCAGATCACTATTTTTTTTTTCATAAATTCTGGCTTAATTAATTTTTATTTGACTTAGCAATTAATTATGCGAATTCACGAAATTTCGCACAAAAATATAATATAAGTAATTTTTTGCAAAATTCATCACATATGCATTTTGCGCAAATGTAATTTTTTCGCGATGATTTGCTTAATTGCTTGCGAAGATGTAGACTAACAATAAACTACTTTAGAAATTTGTGTCTTAAAGGCCTGCTTTATTAGGTACATTAACTCGTTACAGATTTAAAATTAGTTACCTTATTTTTAAAAAAATTAAAATAATATATAACGCATTTTTATATAGGGTTGTTCAAAAAAATTTATTATTTGTCGTGGGACTAACTCAGAAATTAGCCGACCCAGAGATTCTCAAGAAACATGAATATTTTGGAAGATTCGGGAAAATTAATAAAATCGTCATTAATACCAGTACCACTTACGCTGGCAATGGGGTAAATTTTTCTACATTAAATTCTTATTATTTTTTCGTTTATAAATGTATTACTTTTAGTAGCTAGATATCATTATGGAGTCATTAAAATGATAAAAGATATCATTTTGTAAATAAACTTTATTTACAATATTATTTTTTACGAGATGTGATATTTTAAAATTTTACCATGATACTTGGCTTAAAAAAGCTATAATATCTAACCAGGAGACCTCGCAAACAAGATGGTAGTTTAAAAGGAAGAATAGTCCTTATAAGAATGTGTGTGGGGGGGGGTGATTAATTTATAATGAAGCAGGTGTAGAAAGAATCAGGGATCCGAACCTGGACTAAGCCTTTAAAGCGGTAATAACCATTAAAAATTTGTCACCCGAATCTGAACCGAACCTCTGAAAAGGTCTGTGAACCGGTTTGAACCATTATCCCAACTCTTTTAAAGCATATTAATCGATTTTGATGATAGTATCAGTAAGTATTTACAGATATTTCTGTTATATTGCTATTTGATCATGCCAACCATCAAGGTTAGCCTATAGAAATGTTCTCGCCCATACAATTTATTCCTTTTACATATAAATATAATTTGACGAAAGAATATTAAAAATATTTTACTTAATATTATTTTTTTGGTGGAATATGGACAAAATTTTAAAAGATGTGCTTCAATTTTCATAATTCTAATAAGGTTACATGTGAAAATAAAATTAACCAGTTTTTAAAAAGGTTAAAACCGAACCGATATTATTCTTCTTCACGAAGAATCGTGAATTTTTATTTTTCTATGAACCGAATCGATCATTACGGTTACGATCCCTGAAGAATTTACTTAGTAGCTTGTCAAAACAAAAATTTTAGCTACTCTTTGAGAACACTAAATTTCGTTCGCTATATTTTACTATACCCAAAAATGTTAAGCGATATTTTAAATATGAACAAGATGTCTAACCATATTATACTTTCAAATGCAAAACCTCTATTTTAAGTTCCGTTTTCGCCTGGAGTTGTTTTTTTTTATTTTTTTAAAATCATAAAATTTTTGGCGAAAATAAAATTGACATTTTTAAAAAAAATTATTAGGTAGGGATAGTATCGCATAATCAGCTAATTTTCGCCCACTTTGAAACGGCTCGTGAAAAAATGACCTAAGTCTAATTAGGCTTAGACGAAATTTTTAGCAGGTTATGCAATACTCGGAATGGCAGGGCAGTTTGCATGATTTTATTTTTTGATTATAAGGATTTAAATAGAATGCACAACTACCCCAAATTTTTAACATTACGGGAATAGAACTTTTGATCCGACTTTGAGATTTGGTTTACGGTGGCTGATTTTTGTTGAGGGCGGGGAAAGGTTGACAATAAAGAAGGTTTACTTGTGGTAATGTATTATACGGTTTTTGATACGAAACTTATACCTTTTGTTTATATATAAATTTATTAATTTTAACGGTCTTCTTACGCATTTATACCTACCACCTTATAATAATAAAGAGATGTTAATTAAATATATATATATTTTTGTATTAAAACATTCTGCGGATCGATATTTTTTTTTACGAATCAAGCGATGAGAAAATAACTAATTTATATATTATGAGATATGAATTAACCTATTTTTAGAAAAAATTACGTCAATTTTTGGCGGATATCTCCTAGCCGAAAATTAAATTAAAATTTTTTAGTGTTGTAAAGAATTTTTTTTAACAAAACATTTTTAGTATACATACGTTTAGTCGTTTTTTAAAGAAAATATCATTTTATTTCAAAAATGAGGATTTTTCTTATTTTAGAAAATTTAAAAATTTTTATTATTATTAAATCCTGTATATATATTTTAATAATCTTCATTTAACATGTATTTTTCTTCTTCTTTGGAGTTTGGAACCTGACTAAAAAAGAAGGCCTTTTCTCTGAATTTTCTATATGCTGTTAAACAGAAATATATGCATTCCCGAAAAATTTTAAAGTTATTCCGGTTTCTAAAAATCTTAAGAGGAGGCAGCTATTCCAGCTTTTATGTTTTTGACCCGGTTTCAAGGATTCTGGTGGAACAGCGATTAAAATTCATATTTAATTCTAAAAACGAATCTGATAATATTTTTTTTCAATTTTAGTGCAATTTGTTTGTTAACTCTAAATCAATATTTTACCCTAACAATATGAATCAATAAATAATAATATCTTATTTAATTATACTATTATAAATAAATCTATTTTAAATTGTTATATTAAAAAGAATATTATAATATCATTTATTTAAAGAAATTTATACATTCTTCTCGTTCCAAATTATTTAAATATTGGTATAATTTATGTGAAATTTACTAAATTTTATATTGTATATTTTGATATTTTAAAATGAATTAAATTTTATATTATATAATTTAATATTTTTTTTAATGTAAAAAACAAATAATTCCTATAATTCGATTACGAATAATATATATAAATTGTTCGTTTTATTCCAATACACTATACGTATTCATATGACTATAATATATAGTATATAGTAATATGAAGACTTTTTGCCCATTTGTTAATTTCTTAATTTTTGTTCAACGACACTGCACTTTCTTTTAACCCGAATTTCGAGAATATAGATTCTGAGTGAATATTTGTAGGAGAGATGATGCCTTAATATTAACGTTGTAGTAAAGAGTAATTTAAATTTTGTAGATATTTATTTAAATAATTATCTGAATTATGCTTTTTGTCCATTTTCATAGAAACCGGCCGGATGTCAATCCCTAACTGGCGCCAGTTAGACATCGGATCTATAGATGTTTAAACATCATTTTGGTCAAAATCGTATACTCAAACACTATAGCTGGGTAAAGGCTAAAAATAGGTGAATTCAGCACAATTTACAGGCGCGTGCATAAGAAAATCCCTTAAGCATTGAGGTGCATTTATGCTATCTTTAAAGTTTAGCTTTCAAAAAGTATAGGCTGGAGATAGTTAAACCTAGGGCTAAATATAAAAGCAATTACTCAACTAAATATTAAGCACCCCGTTTGCACTTTTTAATAAAACTTATATATTATCCCTTAGATTCTAGGGTGGCCTAGTGGGTTTATGATGTATGCTTGGAAGCCAAAGGTACCAGGTTCAATCTTGATAAGGAACTAAAAAATTTCAGGATTTTCTTCGATGACTGATCTGTAAAGACATATGATAAGATGAATTTCTGAGCTTAGAAATGTCACCCCAGTCACCGACAGGCTTGGACAGCCTGGTGCTAGGTTACTTGTTTAATAAACCAAATGAAAGATACAAACAAAAATATAAATATGAAAGCTATGGCGTTCCTTCCAAGCGATGCGCAGGGTGTGGATCTCCATCCTGTGAAAAGTAAAATAAAGGTCAAAGTGAAGTAAACAAGGTTAGCTAGCTTGAATATTGGTACACTTAAAGGTAATACGAGAGAATTGGCATCCATGTTGAACAAGAGAAACGTTGATATAGCATGCATACAAGAGACTAAATGGAAAGGTTAGAAGACTCTAATGATTGGAAATGGATATAAATTGTACTATAATTGAAATGTTAGTAATAGGAACAGTATCGGCATCATCCTCAGTCAAGATCTAACCTCCTCAGTGGTAGAAGTTAACAGGATCTCTGATAGACTAATGAAAAAAAACTCTTCATTGGTCATCAATCATCCTTTCAATATATCCTCCTCAAACAGGTTGCAAAGAAGAGGAGAAAGATGACCTTAAAGCTATCCTTGATGAAGCTGTAATGGAAATCCCTAAGGATGACCTAGTCATAATAGGTGAAGACTTAAATGCACATGTGGGAAAAGCGAAAAACAGCTACAAAAGACATCATGGTAGTTTTGGATATGGAGAAAGAAATGATGAAGGAGAGCATGTACTGAAATTTGTTCAAGCCTTCAACCTTGCCTTAACCAACACTTACTATAAGAAAAAGGACAGCCATTTAATAACATGTGAAAGTGGTATGCTAATCTCTCTTAAAAGATGTAATAGACTGCAAAGTCATCCCAAGAGAAGATATTGCTGCACAACACAAGTTACAAGTAATGGATTACACTTCACAAATAAATCCACTTTAAACAAGATAAAATTAGAACCATGCATCAAATGGGGTAGATTAAAATCAATGACAGATGCTTTTGCAATCAATGCAAACATCGAAACAATAAATTCCTCACAAGTTAGTGAAAAAATGTGGACAGACCTTTCATCTAGATTAATAGATACTGCCAAATCTACACTAGGCTTGACAAGAGTAGGTAACAATCACACAAAGAATTATGGTGGTGAATGAAGAGGTACAAGCCATTATACGGGGGGAAAAAATACAAAAACCCAGATGACAAGACAAAATACAAAAAGTCCAAGAGATAGCTACAAAGAAGCAATGGCATACGATGAATGTATGAAGAACTACATACTAAAGAGGGGCAAAATAAAGTATACAGATTAGCTAAACAGCGAGAAAAGAATTCTAGAGATATAAACGGAGCTCAGAAAGTAATCAAAAATAAAGACGGAAATTGTTAATAAAGGAAAAAGAAATAATTTAGAGATGAAAATAATATTTTCAGGAGCTTCTCAACTTTAATCCCCACCTATTACATTTAGATGACACTCCCCATACAAAACCTTACACAACCAGTAACGGAACAATAAATAATCACATGCCTCAAACATGAAACACAACAAAGCTAGGGGTCCTGATGATATTACAATAGAAAGCCTTAAAGCACTAAGAGATGCATTTCCTCACAAATCTGCCCAATAAAATATTGGGCAACGAAGAGATTCCTCAAAAATGGAGGCTGAGCTATCTAGTTCCTATCTTCAAAAATAAAGGGGATCCACAATTGTCAAAATTACAGGGGAAGGCTTTCTATAGAATCCTAAGAAAACTTATCTGATGGGCACTACCCCACAAAAGGATTCCCGAAAAATATATAAGAATAATACAGGATATGTATATGGGCCATACAACAATGGTCCGTACACAACTAGTACTTCCGCAGACCTCACAATAGCCGAGGGAGTTAGGGTCGGCTCTCAGCCCACTTCTCTTCATAACAGTAATAGATGTATTATCACAGTATATACCACAAACAGTCCCGTGGAATATGATATTTGCAGATGATATTGTGATACTTGCCGAATCCAATGATGAAATGAAGGAAAGATTAGTGAGTTGGATACATATCTTAGAAAAGCAAGGACTAAAAGTAAACAGAAAAAAGACGGAGTATATGGTGATGGGAGGAGATGAAATGAAACAGAGAGCATTGATATAAATGAATGGCGATATCTGCAATTGAAAGCTGCAAATATTTGGCCTCCACTATACAAACAAATGACAATAGAGAAAGAGATAAAGAGTAAAATTAATCAAGGGTGGTTAAAGTGGAGATCTTTATCTGGAGTGCTCTTTGACAAAAGAATCCCACACAAATTGAAGAAAAAAATTTACAGTTCCATAGTACAACCAACTATTCTATATAGTTCAGAAACATGGCCAACGAAAGAGTCAGACGAGATAAGTTACAAACTATGGAGATGAGAATACTGAGGATGATTGCTGGAGAATCAAGAAAGGATAAGGTGCGAAGTACAAGAATACTAGGAAGTTTAAAGGTAGTGCCTATTAAGACTAAGATAATGGTGAACTGACTTAGGTGGTATGGGCACACAATGAAAAGGCCTATAAACTATATAGGAAATAAGGTTAAGAGTTTAGAAGTGATGGGCAAATGTAAAAGAGAAAGGCCAAAACTTCAATGGGGCCATAAAGTTAGAGCCAATATGAAGAGTATATATTAGATAAAAATAGCATGAATAACATAACATAAAGTGGATAGTGATATTGAAGGAGCTTACCACCAGAAAAAGGTGAAAACTAAAAAGAAAAGAAATAAATTAACCCTTAAATAATTTATATATAAAAAAAATAGGGTTCTCACTATAATGTTATCCACTTTTTTAGAAAAATAATCACTCTTCAGTAAAACAAATCGATATTGGAGTTAGGACCTTATAATGATAATCATGCTGACAATTTTGATTCAAATTTTGGAAACCGGAAACTCTCTGGATTGGGTCAAATCTATGAACCAGATCAGGACCACTTAAAATTTATATGAAATGAACCCAATTTAAAATACTAATATCAGCAGAGTTTGGAATCGGAACCCAATAACCTCGACAAATCTAAAAACCAGACCTTTTTTAAATTTAGTAATCAGGACCAGGATCCAATCGAAAGTTTGAAAAAAAATTAATTTTTAAAAAATTTTTTAGTTCAATCTTGTAAGGTTTTTTATGCATGAGAATTACAAAAGATTTACTTATAAAAGATTTTGGCATTTTAGATAAACAAAAATCTCTCATCTTAAAAAAAAAATCTTTTTTGCTTATATTTTTAAAGTATATTTAATGTTAAAATTTAGTAATAATTGAATTGAATATGTATAAAAAAATCGCAAAGTTGAATGCCAATAAATTTACAAGATCTGCTTCTATTTTATAATATATTTTCGGATAGATAAAGAATTAAAACCATTACAACATTGGCTGGCATTTTAACTTAATATATTCTTACACCTTCTATATTAAAAATTATATATTGGACCAAATTTTAAAAAATATAATTTTGTAACTCAATAAAAATTTAATCATTGTCGGGCAATTATTGTTTATATGGAAATTAACAGAGTTGTTTAGTATCTAGATACAATAATATAATAGGTATCTCTAAGATACACCTTTTAAAAAGTATTTGTATATAGATACTATTTTAGAGGTATCTTTCTCTGTTTTTAGATGCATTTTGATATACTTTTATTTAACTCTTTTTTTAATTATAAATAAAAATATTTGAATACAAAATTCATTTTATTTCATATGAACATATAATTTAAATGTATATTAAGACTAATAATAATAAAAAAATATAAATATTCATTAAATGTTATTTTTTTCCTTTAAAATCTATAGATATCAGTTCAAGATTGTGATGGATATTTTTATCATGTAAAGGAATATATAAATCCTTGTTTAACCATAACGCCTATTAATTATTAAAAATAATACGATTGATGCGCAAAATTATTTTAAACAAATAAATTTATCAAAAATTTTTTAAAATAATTAATGCTCGTTTTAAATGAGAATTTGTGTAAAAATAGGGGTTTTGACATATTTTTATTTATATTTTATATGATGTTCGAATTGGATGAGAATAAAATATAAAATGTTGTTTAAGAATTTTTGTGTTCTCATAGAAAGTTTCTGTTCGAGAACAACCACAACCCCTATATATAAGTATTAAATTGAATAATTGTATCTGTATTTAGATCCATACTTTGGAAATAATATATGTCATATTGTAATATGGAATTTATGGAGATTCGAAATTCTCGATTTTAAATTATTTAATGAGGGCGATTTTTAAATTTAAAAAAAATCTGATTCGATCAGAAATGTAATTTAGCATACATAGAGCCCTGCACTCTGAATTTCAAATAATTTTAACATAAACTTTAGAATTGTCCTTAATTTATATTGATTTTTCTATAGTTTTTTATATAAATTTAAAAATACACAAGTTTATTGACAAAATTTTCTGAAATTCATAGGATAGTTACTCTACACTAGTGTTGTTAAACGGCTCGATTTAGCCAATTTAAAATAAGATTTTAGCCAAAGTTATATTACTCAATCTTCGAGATTTCGTTAATAGTTGTCCAAATCATTCAGCCATCTCGGAGCAAAATCTCCAGGGTTCCATAATATTTTATGGCTAAGATATTGGGTTAGCCGTTTTAAAAAATCGGGCCGTTTTATAACACTACTCTACACGTATAGGAATGCATTTATAATTGATTTTAAATCCTCCTTAAATATTTAAAATCGAGAGATTTCGAATCCCAATGGATTCAATATCACCATACGGTACATATTTATAAACTAATTTTCCAAATTTGATAACCCGCCACACTTTTGCGTAATTAGGCCTAAATTTATCTAACTCCTCGATTAAATAAATATTAAAAAAAATGAATAATCGAAATATGGTGAACTTTTATTATTTTGTACGTCAGGGTCCCACCGCTAGTGCCTATATAACGTTTTACAAAAGCGAAGACGCGTTGAAGGCCATCGAACACATTAACCACAATCACAGCATGGATGGGCGAGTTATAAAGGCCTCGCTTGGAACAACCAAATATTGCAGCCATTTTCTCAAGGGTTCCACTTGTCCCAAAACGGTATCACATGTTTTTTTTATAAAAATATATAATATAATACTTGCGTCTGGATTTTATTTGGGTTAAAAATATTGGGGTTGATTTTATTATTTAAATTTTCTTTTAATATTACTATTCTTCCTTATAATGTTTCATATTAATTATGAGAATTTTTTAAAAAAAATATACAACATCCAAGGATTGCATGTATCTACATGAGATGGGGGAAGAGGGCGCTAGTTTTACAAAGGAAGAGATGCAAATTGGCAAACATCAGGAATACGAGATGAGACTTTTGGAAACTTGCTTGACACCACCGCCTCAGCCCACTTTATCTACTAATTCTTCCAACACGCTAAACAACAATATGAGTAATTGTCATCCTTCCTCCCTGTTCAACTCTAGCAACGCGACTGCAAATAATGCTTATTACAATGGTGACATAGATAGTTTCGGAGATGTTTTCAATAGTTTAGCCCTGGATGATTTCGAGAATAATCAGGAGGAAGGAATACTCTCTTCCAGTTTGCCCACTTCCTTTTTCCACCATTCTGATGTCAGTACCAACTTTAAACCTAATCATTTGGAAAATTATGATATCGCCGAAGATTGCTTTGATAATTTAGATAACATAACCAACTTTAAGCCCCCTAATCGTGAGTCCACAGACTACGAACATTATAACATGAACGACATGGAAAATAGGATAGATAATTTTAATATTAATAACTCGAGTAATTCAGATAAAAATCATGTAATGTTAGATAGGGAAGAAAGGGATGAGTTTTTCAAACACGGGAATAATAGAAATAGATGCAGAACTGAATCTATGCAAAGTGAAGTCTTGCTGAGTCAGGTTACTAGACTCCCGTCAACTAATAGTGATGAATGGTAAAATTCTTTTTTATTGATGTTTTGAGCGACCTATTTTTAAAAGATTAATTTTTGACAGCTGAGGATGCTATTATAATTCTTGTAGTTTACTTATAAATATATTTTGTAATATACCCCCAAAAAAGGAATATTTCTGATATAAATCAAACGTTAACTTCTCCACATTGCTCAACAAATTTAGCCAATTCCAACAATAGAGAACGCTTCATAAGCAATTCCGATATTAGAAGCCTAATCAGCGAAATCAGTATTTACAAACAATCTACTGATAGTTCAGGTTTGATTTCCTGAAATTTAATCCCTTGCAAAAATATTTAAGGGAGGGAAAATAGGGGAAAATATGTCAGGGAAATCAATCCTCCTAATAAATCCAGGGGAAAGCTTAAATATTTTCTTAATAAAACAATTTATATCATTAAAAACTAAAAAAAACATAATATATCCAAAAAATTAGTGTAAAATTCATTTGCTCGGATTAATATTTACAAATGGTAATTTATTTCACAACAATTTATAATAAATTAAAAAAAATAAGTATTATTTATCATATATTTATAATTGAAATGATTGTAAAATTTTGAGGATATGAGATTTTTTAAAAAAAGATTATAAATAATTCGAAATAAAAATTAATGGGTAAATCACGATCTAAATCTGGAATTAAGGTAAATGATTTTTTTAAAATCAATTTTAAGGTTGAATCTATATTTTAAAAGTTTATTCCACAATTGTTTAAGTTTATTTTAACATCGTATAAAGGGAAAATTGTTTAATATCTATTTCATTTTTTGTTGCTTTATGGGTTTTTATTATATATTAGGTTATTGTTTTGGTCTTATTGTTATTTATTTGATTTTAAATATTCAACATTTATGTTTGAAGTGTAACTAATAATATTAGTGGGCCTGGTTCAAACTAACTAAAATGACCACCAATTGATTAAATGATAGTTCGCTATAGATGTGAATTTAATGCCATTTTTAGGAATGTTTTAATATTGTTCTAGCAAGCAAAATCAGCTCCATTTTGCTTTGTTTGAGCCAGACTTAAAAATTTGTCATAACATAAAGGAAGTTCAGCTTGTTTTTCACATTTTAATATGCAACATCTGATTTATTATTTTTAGTTGCACATAAGCTTTGCTAAGGTGAAATTGTTATAAAATTTATCAAAAAACTCATAATCAGCAATTATATATTATAACTCAAATTTTTAATAGGAGGTCATAAATGAATATTCGACTTTTGGCCTTTTAACTCGAAAATTTTATAAACTTAATAAATCAAATTTAATCATAAATTATTTAATGGTATAGAATTTTTAATTAATTATCAGTGGTTGAAAGATAATATTCATAAATATTTAATCATGTAAAATTTTAAAGATCTAATTTTTCGAATATACACCCTAATAGAGGTAAAAAAGGAAGATACAGCTAAAAAAACATAAATGCTTGCATTGATTCAATTAGACACGATAATGCACAACATATAGCAATTTACAGAACAACCAAATTTTATTAAATTATTTTTTAATATTAACTCTATCTTATATCTCACTAACATTTTAAACCTATCTCTTTTTCTTAGCTTTCAAGAAACTGGTTTCACAAAACAGTATAACTCTATCCCTTACCCTCAGTTACTTATCAGGTCTTATCTCATACACAGTTTTGGTGAAATTAAGCAAAACTATTCATTAATTTATATTGTTTTGACCCTACCCCAATCAGACCTTGGTTTGGATCAAGAATCAGGAAAATCAAATAAATGCTTTCAAGTTTTCTGGAGAATTGATATTTTTGAGGTTTTTCCCTGCGATATTTTTCCCGAGATTTTTTTTTTGCTTTTTAGTAGTTTACTTTATAGGTTTTTTTCCAATTACCTTTATATTTGTTTAATTTTTGAGATAAATGCAAACATTGTTCAAATTAATTTAATAAAGCTGCTTCCTATTTTAAAAAAATTATGGATACTTTAAGATAAGTTTTCTTATTCATATCGAGCACCTAATTAAATATCTTATTTGTCTTTTTTTATCCAAATAGAAAATGATGGACCTAGACCGTTGGTCAATGGCCTAAGCTCTTACGAACGTCCTTGTCCATCTCAGAATAGCCTTAATCTACCCAGTTCGCAAAATATTCACCACAACCAAAACTCTTCTAAATCCTCATTGAACCTTTCCGAAAAATTTTTTACAAACAAAACTCAAACTCATTTTTATAATATAGATAATAATTATAACAAGAGTCAGGCACATTCACATACTCAGGGCAACGATGATTCCAACCATGATAATTTCAATGAAGAATCTATGCCAGTCACTGGAAAACTCAAAAAGCGTATAGATGTTTTGTTATTAAGGGACGGGAAACGCAAATTACTTCCCAGTCACGCTTGCGACTCTAATATCACTCCACTCGGGTTGGATAATGACGATGCAAATATTAAATACCAAAAATCTCAGTCCTTTCAATCCCAATCACATGTACGATCAGAAGCTGAACCAGAACACAGAATTGAAAGAGTACTCATTTCAAATAATCCTGATATTCCTATTAAAAATAGCGATTTAAATGTGAATAATAAAACTAACGTTAATAATATATCGAGTAATGAACCCCCTGATTGGCAAGAAGCATTTGGATTTGGGCCGTCGGTACGCGAATCGGCAGTCAATCATATCAATAATAATTACGATACTACATGCATGATCAATAGTCTTAATTCTCAAAGCCCCCAATCAACGGAGAAAGGGGCATCCGTCAAGCACATCGAAGATGATTTGGGTTTATATATATAATTTTTCCATCTCTTTGCTTATAATTAAAAAATCCTTGATTTTTTTTTAGTAAATAGCTTTTATATACCCATAAAATTGAAATTATTGTATAATTCTCTTATTTAATTTATATATTATAAATATATTTAATCGCTATCTTATAAAAAAAACGTTTATTATTCTAAGGTTTTGACCCATGGAACGAATCCACCAAAGCTCTTGAAGAATTGATACAGTTGGAACAATTACGTCTTCAAAACACTGAAAAAATTCCTCCTATATCTCATCATAACCCTGGTAATCTTCCCTCCCATTCCGATCTATCCGCCTTAGGCTCTTTACCCCCTCTTCAAAGTAAAGCCACTCCGTCCGACCTTCTGGCAACTATCCCAAACCATAATTTAAACAACTTAATCAGTACAAATAACCAGCTACAAAATAATCTGCCCCTCTCTAGTAATGTTAATAACAATGGTCAAAACCCTAATTTTTTCTCGCCAGCCCTCGCTGCTGCCACTATGATGATGCTAATGGCCGCTAATAACAACGGTAACAGTAGTAAAACACCCTCTCAACAACAACAAACTTTGGCTAACAACGCCTACTACAACTCTCTCGTCGGTCAATTTAATCACTTGAATCAAATGAACCAGCATTTGGGTCAAATGAATCATTTGAATAATTTGAACAATCTAAATAATCTCAATCAACAGCTGAATCACCATTTTAACTCCCAATTGAATCCAACCATGAGCAATGCCAATAAATATCAAACAAGGAGTAAGGACGACACTTTTCTTCAATTCAACAATCACAAAACTAATCTTGTCAATCGAGACAATATATTGACATCCCCTTTACACAACATAGCAAATAATTTTAGCAAACTATCTGCTGGGAACGTTCAAATGAATCAATTACAAAACCCTCTAAATCCTCAGTTTGGAAAACAACAGTTAACACCTACATTTCTGAGTAATTTTTATTACATGTTATAATTTATAACAAATTTTCGTAATATTCTAATAAAAGGCCTATTCAAACGAATTGATTATTGAATTATTCATATTCGATACTTTTAAACAAATCGAATAAGTTAATTCTTATTCGATTGACATAATAACGAATTTTATATTATATAATTCGTTTAAAAGAATCGCATAAGAATGATTATTATTCACATTGAATAGACCTACTTAATAACAAGAAATTCTTAAGTTGAATTGTAATTTTTAAAATTGAACAAAGCTATTCATCAATTTATAATAATATTTTTTACGTAAATACAAAAATGTTTACAGACAATTTATCTTCGCTCTTACCACAAAATCCTCTTTTTTCTCAATTACATCAGCAACTAAATGCCGCAATGCCCAACACCAATATCCATTCTACATCCCCACAATGTCAAAACAATGCTTTAACCAGCATGAATACCAATAATTTCGTTCACAATCAAAATACAAATGGTATAAATTCTACGAATCCCAATTTTCCTTTCTCTCAGATGTTTAACTCACATCAAACTCCCCACAAATCTCTTTGCCCTGATAATTTGTCAGCAAATTATGACCACAGGGATTTTAACGTAGTAACAAATCTCCTGAACTCGCCCATGCTCGTTAAATCTCCACAAGCCTTGATTAACTCGAATACAACAAACAAAATGCCTAATTTTAATTTTAACGATATATCTTCATCCCTTAGTGGCAACCCATTTGCTGCATTAAATATGAGAGAATTGGCCCAATCCCTTAGGGCGGCACTTACCAATTCAACCTCTGCTCATCAAGATAATGTTAATATGGATGCCAACAACTCAATACTTCGCAATGGTAATAATCTTAGCCCTCCACCGCCTCCTATGATGTTCAACCAGAATATTCGTAGCAATAACAACCATAACAGCCTGCTTATGCCTCCCCCTCCACTCCCCACGATCAATGGGTACAAAACCAATGGGGTTCTCGAAAATTTTTTGGCTTACTATTTCAATAATAGCAACCAGAATAATCACAATATTAATAATATCAACAGCCAAATAAATGTAAACGACGATGGTGCTTCATACATCGAACAAGTACCTTCCAATGGTTCAGCAATATCCTCTAATCGTTTTGGGTACATACCCTCCGGTGGTTCTGATCGGTCCCATTTTAAACTTGAGCAACTCAATTCGATTCACTCGTTGCCAAATATTAACGACGTCAACTACGATAATCAAAATAATCATGCAACAAATCAACACATCAATCAAAATTACAACTTTAAAACAGGCCCCGGTGGCGACAGTTCACCCCCTATTCCCCCGTATTGTGACAATAATTACTTACTCAAATCTTTAGCAACAAATCTTAATTACAACAGCCACAAATATGGGGAACATTTTAATAATGAGCCACATTTATTTAACAACAAAAATCACTCGTCATTAACCAAAAATGCGGCAGATTTGGCCTCCTTTTTGGCTCTTAACAGTGAAAAATTATCCAAGCCACTCAACACAGGTAAATTTCATTTATAAGCAGCTTTTCCTTCTATAAAAATAAATATATTGTTCCTTCTAGCTTAGTTTTAAGATCCAAACGCTAGAGACTATTTAAATTTATGACAATGAAATTTTTTCTTATATTTAAATAATATCTTATTTAAACCTTAAACCAAATTTTATCGCAGATAAGCCTGACGGGTTTTCATTCTCGTCTCCTCCACACCTCTCTCCCATAGTTGCTAGCAATTTCGAGAACGTTTCAAATTATATGAATTCGCCTTACAGGATGAACACATTTTTAACAAATCGTAACGATGAATTAGACATTTCATATAGCAACAAGACAGATTATGATATTGACCCTACGGGTGGTGATCCCAACATGCCTTGATTTTATATCACGAATCTCTTGGATATTGTTACTTCGCTAATAAAATTTTTTATTTAATAAGCAAAACACAATTATTATATAATACAATGATGTCATTCTTTTTTACTTGGTTTTTTTTAAGTGAATAGGAAATTCCAATTGAAGCAGTTGGCAGGCAATATATAATCAATATACGTAAAATTAGTTTAATTATGTTATTAAGGGATTTGGTATGTACAGTATAGAGCTGAGTTATATTTATTATGAGATTAATAATCTTATAAATTAAATGTCTGTTTTAAACTATTTTCTATTCTCCTCATCTCAATATTATATTGCAATTGATACTAAACCTATTTTATCTTTTGGATGCACATGCAACACATATATTCATAAATTATTGAATTATTACCTGCCTTGATATATATTGCTTTTTCCTCACTTTATATAAAACCATATTCATTTTCGGTTGGAGATTTTATCGCTAAAATTTTCATATTCTCTTAACCATTCACTCATCTATATGCACCCTTCTTTCAAGGTAAATATTCTGACTATAAATCACTCCTTAAAATTGATAATATATCAATAAAAAAATCTAAGCAAATAGAATTATATTTATGATATTAATGTATATCAGACGTTATTTATCTATATATGATTTTCAAATAAAAATCATAACAATATTTCCATATACTAGAAACCATCGCCTGAATTTTGTATTATCTTGATATATTTATCCTACTCTAAAATATTTATATTTTTGTGTTTGAATTTGAATAATAACGACTTTAAATGTATATTTTCATATATTGATATGAATATCATACCATTTTGTTTTACTTGTAATTTTATCCTATCTTATAAATTTATATTTAAAAAAACACTATAAATTTCCCATATATATTATTATGATATTTTGGAAATATTATTTTAAAAATTTTAATACAATAAATTATAATATCTTTTCACGCCAGCGATTTCAGGGTTGTTATGACCCCATTCCCAACCTTATGAAAACACCCCAGTGTGATTGTAAAGGAAATTTTTAAGGAAGGGCTAAGATTTGAATTTTAAATCGAGGTTTTGATTAGGACATGATATCAAAAAAAATTGATATGCACATCAAATTGTAACCAATTTATTATTTAATTTTCAATTACATTTAAATTTTTTTGTGATTGTTGTAAATCCTACCACATTTTTAATAAAAAAAGGCACAATCCATTAAAAATTTTCAAAATAAAACTCCCATCATTTTTTTAAAATTGAAATAGCTAGTAGGAAAAAAATAGTAGCAAAGGTTTGAGGTATTGAAATTCGATAAATCATAGGCTAACAATAGGGCGATTTATCGGCCTTAGGATTATTTATTACCAAATATCCAGTGTTATTAATATGACTTGTTACTAGAAATAGAAAGGACATAGCCTAAACTATGTATTATTTATTTAATTGTAAGCTATGAGGAAACTTAGCTATCGGTTAGAAAATATCGTTCAGCTGCATCCAATATGTCATTTTGCATTTACTCTTGCTTGACTGACCATAAAATAAAATATTTATTTCCAAAATATATAGTGTTTTTTAATGTTAAAAAATATAAATGTACGGAAACCAGTTACTTTTTAGTGCTATAACTGTAGCAAATGTAACCATAACAACGTTACAAATCGGCCGAATAACCAGAACAATAAATCATTCATCTATTAAATTCCAGATCAACGAAATAATAAATTATAAGTGAACGGATATAAACCATTATTTAAATATTCTTGCGTGGTTCAGCTTTTTTAAATATAGAATGAAAATCGATTAATTCATAATTAAAAAATGTACTTGGTTATAGTTAGGGAATTTTTTTTAAATATGACTCAAAGCGAGTTCAGCAAAAATGCGTTTTTCAAGAGAGGTCGTTAAATTTTTTAAATCCTCAAATTCTTTGATTCCTCGGTAATTGCTTTTAGGCTGGAATCTTTTCGGGCTTCCCTTAATAAATATATGCTTAAGTTTAAAAAATGAATCTTATTAAAATGAAAAAGAAAATCTCAAGAAATATTATTCTAATTTAAATAAAATGGTAAGGGGGCATTTATAATTTTAAATAATATAACAAGAAAATTTTTAATATAATTTAGGTTAAAAAATATACAATCGGGCAAGGGTAAAATTGTTTATTTTTATGTAAAAAAATAATAATATATAGTTTCGAGATTATTTTATTAACTCTTAACTAATTACTCGTGTCATGTTAGTTCGCTTCAGAATAAAGTCCGATAAATGTTTCTAACTAAAATTCGAACCACAACCCTTCGCTTAACTATAAATCCATATTTCTCAACACACTGACTCACCAGCTGTATACACAAAAATTATTACTTTTGTGTATAATTTACCAATCGACAAATAATTTCCATTAAAAGTTATTTTTTGGTAGGTCATTCTTAAACCTTAAATAAAAATATTCTAGGGTGCGTTTAAAATGGATAAAAGTTCATTGTAAAAATAGAATGAGTACCGAATATATTATATAAATTATAATTATTTCTTATGATTTTTTCCTCGAAACCCCCCCCCCCCCCAACGCGCTTACTCCCATCTCCCCATTTGTGCACTGTAGTGTTTGGAGTTGGAATATCATTATTAAAATAAAAATTCATTTTTATAATATTTTTGTTTGTTAGCTAATATTATTATTATCATTTTATTTATAGGATTTAGTTGTAGAAAATAGATATATATCGATTTTTTTTTATTTCTTATGTGCGTAGTACTATTATTATTTTTTTTATTTATTATTAAGATTTTGTTGTAGTAAATAGATATATATATATAAAGAAGAAAATAAAAACCATTACGATTATTATTATTTTTTTTTAAAGTTTTTTCTTCTGTTTTTACGTAAAGGGGAAAAAAAAGTTAGTCGTTGTTTTGAAAGGAAAAAAATATAAAATAAAGGAAAATAAATAAAAAGTGTGAAAACTTGTTAGTAGGAAAATTTGTTAGCTATTGGCCAGGACTATTCTTCGATTCTCGCGTTGCAATCAAGTTTGTGTTACAGGGATTACTAGAAAGGCCATAAGGGCAGGTTTGCATCAAAGCAAATTCGAGGAATTTAGTTACACAAATAGATTCCAGTTACACGGAAGTGCTGCCCGAACTATATCACTCTAAACAAAAATTTGAAAGAAAAATAAGAAAAATATAATAATTTTTATTAATGACTGGCACAGCTTAAGGCCTACAATAAGTGAACTTAAAGATTTCCAGTAAAATTTATTAGGATAAACCCCACTTAATAGAGATCCCCCCCCCCCCCCAATCAGCAATATTCCTATGATGGAGGTTACAAATATTAATTTGGTATACTATTATAAACGTTGTTATTGAGTATTTTGGATGGATTACTTTCAAGAAATTGATTTGATTTAAACCTCGTTTATATTTAAAAAATTTACCTATTATAATCTCGGGGACAGATTTTTAAATAAAAGATCTGATAGTTTCATCACATGTTAGGACTTAGTCGCATTTGATATCCCTACTTAATTTCTAATTTTTTTGTGAGAGGTTTGAATTCATGACTTGAAATATATTCTCTTAAAAATGAACAATTATATCTTATTTTATTTAATACAAATACATACAATTTATTTGATTATATTATTGTTTATATAGTAATAATTTCATATATAAATCGATCTAGAATTTAAGAATTTAATTCTAATCTTAAAATCCTCAATATTTTGTTGATTTTTGAAAATCACACGAAACAATTTTTCTTAAATCGTCAGCCGTGCTCAATATAAAATAAAATAATATATTATCAGAGTGGTTGGAATTCAATAAAAGAATGTTTTTATGGGAGTGGCTTACCGGAATTTTGACTTCTTTAGGTTTTATTTTAATAGCAGTATTTGATATATTTATTTTAAATAGGACTATATAAAAAAAATGGGAAGCTTGTATTTTTAGGGTTAGATAATGCTGGGAAAACAACACTTTTACACATGTTGAAAGATGATAAGATGGGCCAACATGTACCCACCTTACACCCAAGTAAATTTATAATAACTTATTCAAAATTTAATACAACTTTTTTAGTTATATAATTTTATATATTTAAATATGAGCTAAAACATAGGCAGTTATTATTTGATTAATACTATGTTAGTTTTATAAACCTTATTATATTACCTATATGCTTTTATTTAATAATTACAAATAGCAAAATATATTTTAAACTATAGATTTTTGTACATGTACAGTCTACTATTACATTAATATAACAAAATGGCTGCTTATAAATTAATTAAATATATTGTTTTAATCAGGGACCTGGAGTGAATCGTAACCAACCATTAAACCATTATAAATTGGTATATATATCTGAACCATCATCGTAACCAAACTGATATAATTATTCTTTGAAGGAGTAAAAAGAACCTTTATAAAAAACGGTTAAATGGTTTAGTTTTTATATAGAAATGGAAATAATTTGAATATCCAGAATTATATAAACTTGCTCTTATAGTACTGGGGGTTCCCGCAACACAAGTTTCTGTAGAAAGGGCTTTTTCGGGGCTAAAATTTGTGTTATAGTCACAATGAACAAAAAAGAATCCATTTATATTAGAAAATATATTACTTATATGTTCAAATAATATATTTAGAAATGAGTTATTTTGAATCTTTTATTTTTTTGAATAAATAATTCATAGATGCTTATAATAAAAATAAACTAGAAGATGGTGTTGCTTCAATAAAAAAAATTCTAACCATAATGATCCTTTATAATTAGCTGAAACGAACCGAACCTTTATAAATTTCTTCTTAAGAACCGTAACCAAAACATAACAACTATAATTTTTTACATACTGAACCGTATAACGGTTAGGGTCCCTGGTTTTGATTCAACTTTATTAAATATTTACAAAATTATTATTGGGTTGAATTTTTTTTATAAACATGATTGATCCATTGATAAATTTAAAATTTTCTATCTTATGTATACTGTAGCACATTATATTAGAGGCCTAAAATTTGGTTGGCTTATATATATGCCTTTAAAAAATAATGGAATTAACTCAAAATCAAAGGCTCAGGTTAGAAAAAATAAAGTAGAAAATAATTTTTTCTTTCATATAGAGAAACTATAATTAGGAGTTCTTTTAGGATTAACAGGGAATTTTTTTTTACAGAACTTTTCTGATGGTTTTTTTTCCAGAAATCTTTAAAAAAGTTTAATATTTTTGCTTCTATTCAAATGAGACCTGATTTTTAAAGGAAATATCTTGGAATCAGCACCAGATTTTAATAATTTTTTATCCATAAACATCTTGGAATATCTATATAAACATTATAACTTTTTATAAAACAATTATTATAGAGAGGAATTAGAATTGGCCATTTAAAAAATTTTTGAAAATTAGATTAACAAAAAATTGTAAGAAACTAAACCAAAATATAGGATGATTTCATTTTCTAATAGTGACCCCTCCCTAAAATATTTTTGTTGGGTTTTCCATGTCAAATAGATCTTAATTCTCTAGATCCCTTGGAATTTGGATGTAGTGTACAAACTGAACAAGCTCTTATATTTTTGGTAATATCAAGGATTAAAGTATAAGTTTATGCTAATTAAAGATTTTCTTAAACCTATAGAATTATAAATAATGATTATAATATAAGAATAAAGTATACAATGCCTTATAATTTTTTTAATGTGATGGTTCATTTAAACCCATTCTATTGAAATTATTCCAAAAATTTATGAGTTTCTCCAATTTAAAGTTTCTTAGCAAATATTACTAATGCAAATATATCTGTATAAAAACAATAAGTTTTTACTTTCATGGGAAAAAAACACATTTAAGCAAAATTTTAAATTTAAAAAAAAAAAATTTGAGATTGGATGCTTGAAAAAAATTAAAATATTGCATAAATATAATTTTGCAAAACTTGGTATTCCAGATACAGATATAGAATCAGCATTGGACAGGATGGGGAATACTTATATCTAAGATACAAGATCCTTTTATATCTATAACCAGAGTTTGAAATACTCTTCAAAAATAGAAAATTAAAGATTTTGATCTGTGAAATATTTTTGTGAATTACAAATTTCAAACAATTTTCTCCATAAACTTTGTGTATTTTATAAATTGTATCCCTTTAAATTAAGAGTAGTTCCAAGGTTCTTAGCAAAATTCTTTGAAATTCACAATGTGGGTACCCTATGTATGCTGAAATACATTTTCAGTTAAATCGGATTTCAAAAATTTATGCTTAAACAAGTATTTTGATAGAATTTTACCTAAATTTTTTTTGTAAAATATCTTAGTGAATCTTTTGTGAATTTTATGTATATAAAATCTTTCACAATGAAATCACAAATTTTTTTAAAAAAATGATTTTGATCTTAAAAAAATCTTCAATTTTATGATTTCCAAAGATTTTTTCCTAAATATTTTTTTTCAAACTCTGTCTTTACTCTATTCTTTTGGCATTTTTTTTATAAAATACTTATATTTGTATCTAAGATAATTAATTTTCAAAAGAATCTTTTTCATTTTCTTGATAAAGGATACAGATTTTTTTAAATACTTTTTTTAAAAAAATCAATATAAACTTTTAATACTTTTTTCATGGACCAACATTTTGGATTGTTCTTTGAACACACTACTTGGTATAAAAGTATTAATATTTAGATAATTTTGATTGTTGATTATAAAATTGTTTTTTATTATAATATCTCTTGTTTTTATATTTATATAAATGGTATATCGTAAGTATATTTTATTATATTCGTCTAATTATTATGGTTTGCTAGTGTTTTTTAATTTAAAAAAAAATTTCTAAAATAATCTGAAGTCATTGGAATTTATCTTTCAGTTCATTGAAAAAAATTAATATGATATTTCCCCATATATTTCTACTCTTATTGTTGGGTCATCTTATAGCAGTTAATTGGGAAAACGATGATATTGATTTTTTTTGTGAACACGGATTTTGACCTCATCGACTTAATGACTTATATAGAAGGAATAAATAAATTTTTCCATAAAAAGTATCTTATATATCATATATTTTTGATATCATTAATAAGATGCTTGTATATATATATAAGATACATATTTTAAAGGTTGCTGATTCTTTTTTTAAGGACTTATCTATGTATAAAATCCCTACACAAATACTGCTGATAGAAATTCCTATTTTTCAACCTCGTGGAAATTTCCACTAGATTATTCACTTCATATTGGTGCTAGTGATATTTGCTTAAAATGTTATAAAAATCGGGGAAATTCACTATTTTTACAAGGATTTTAAACTTTAGAATAGGGTTAGACTGATTATCCCATTTATAAAAAAAAACTAAAAAAGGATACACTTTGGTTTGGTTAAATTTATTATTTAATATTCTGTAGTTTTTAGTTTATCTTGACAATCGATAAGCCTAAAAATAGATCATTTCCTTACTTTGACTCTTGATATCACCAAAAATTTGAACAAATGGGCTAAAATTTGATTACTGTTTAGTTACATATTCCATATTTTGTTTAAAAAATTCTACCCAAATTCTAAGGTTTCCCTCGAAAATCTTTTTTTTTGATCGATTTGACATGGAATGACACTGATAACTTATTTTAACTTTTCTTAATTCCAAAATGGTATGCATTAAAAATTATCAGCCATTATGCCGATTCATGGATATATACATTTATAACCCGACCATTTTAATATCGATGCCCCCCTATTAAAAATATAACTATCTCGAGTATTGAAATATAAATTGAGCTCTAAAAAATAAAATATTCTTCTCCAATCACCCCAAAAATATCCCTTTATTTTATGAAGTTATTCATTAAAAATCAAAAAAATAATCCTGCAGATCTTCCCTATACAATATCACATATAATGATTGCTTCTGAAGGAGACTTTTTCTGAATTTGCTTGAAAATATTATTTTTAAAATGATGTTTTAGACTCAACTTATAATAAAATGACAATATTTTATTCTGTGGGCTTTTGTAACCATAAATTTTATTTTAAACATGCAACTTTAAAATTTTGATCTAATGTTAAAAAAATATATGAACGTTTTATATTGATTTCTGGTGATAAACTTACCCCCACCCCTCATTCGTTTTATTAATTTTTAAATTAAAATAATCAAAGCATCGGAAGAACTCTCAATGGGTGGCATGAAATTCACTACATTCGATTTAGGTGGGCATCAACAAGGTATAAATTAAATATATTTTTACCAATTAAAAGTTACATTAATTCATATAGTTTATGAAGTGCCTTACTAGGCTTGAGGTTCAATTATATAAGTGGGGTATATAAAAGTTGACCTGTCTTGAGAGTTTGGTCTGCAGGTTGGATCAAATAAAAATTACAGCCACGCTGTGGCTGTGTAACTAGGGCAAAATGTGTTAAAAAAAATTTTTAATTTTAAATTAGGTATATTTTTCCTTCATAAAAAACAACCAAATCGGACAAATTTTACAAAAATATTATTACGGGCTGGGTTGGACAACTTGTAAGAAGTTATTTTATAGGCTGGGCCAGGCAAAAATAAATTTATAAAACAATAATTTGAATATTAAAAAATATTTTTTTAAGGTATTCACACATAAATTAGAGCTATAAAATCTCTTTTACTCCTAAACATCAAAATATTTATTTCGAAAACTTTATTGAAAACCACGAAATAAGTATCATTTTTTTTATAAAAATATGGCCACAACATATTTGTCTCCTTATGTTTCGTTATTGAAATTAGAGGTGGGCACGGGCCTAATTTTTTATTTACGGCCCGCCCGCTCACGGTGGTAATAATATTCACGTCCATTCACGCTTACTACTAAATCGACCCGACACGCCTGCTCACGAAAGGCATTATTTTGATTCACGCCCGAAAATTCACGATGTTTTTAATTTCTTCTATTAAAAACTTAAGACTTTTGAAATTCGGATCTAGAATTAAGACTACCTTATGTAGTGGCTAAAAAAAATCTTGTCCTGTTTTTTTAAGGTTTTAATTATCATTGTATCACGTTTAGAAAGTTAACAAGTGGGATGAGAATCAGCGCTCAGATTATCCAAGCATTCTTTAAATATTGATGAAAATTTGTCTAACTCGCGGATGATGTTGATATCAATTGTGGCTAATCTATTTAATTCTTGATTGCTATAAAAGTACACCTGTATTTCATAATATGATTTTAAGAAACTCTGTATCATGATACATACAGAGTTCCATATCGTTATTACATCTTGTTTAAGGGTGTGGCTTAGCTTGCTATTCGCTGTAGATTGTTTGAAATATTGCGGATGTTGTTTACAAAATGTGGAAGATTTTTTGTTTTCAAAGATTATTCTTTTTTAAAAAAAGTAAATTAAATTAGAAAATATATATTATAATTATAAAATTGCAAATTTATAAAGAAACAATTTAAAAAATTAAAATTTCCGTAATTTACGGGAAATTTATGTTCACATTCGATCACGCCTGGGAAAAATTTTGGGAAGACCCGTCTCTCCTAATTATTTAAAATTTATTCACACTCACGCCGTGATACGATGGGTCACGCGTTATTTCATGGCCCGCGCCTACCTCTAATAGAAATGTTTAAAACGGGGTTTAAACTCATCCCTAATAATGCCCACAAATTGAGCTCTGCGTTTTGCCATACTTTTTTATTTAAAAAAATGTATATTTTATTAAATATATCATTTAAAAGATGTTATTTTTTCACATTTTATATAATATTAAATTTAATTTACATAAAATTAAACAACTAGAAAGTGATTTTTAGCCCCCCCCCCCATTATTCTTATCTGGATAACAAGGGTTTATCAGCTTACTTGCGAAAAACCGAGTTCTTAGAGAATTGGAGCCAATATGCAAAATAAATGATGATAAAAAGTATTGAAAAAAGCAAAACAGTGCGTTTTTTTTAAAAAGGGCTTCTAACGCCAAGCGGTAATTAGACCAATTTACACGATACCATTTGTAATGCATTATTTGCGTTTGCAACGCAGCTTTCGAATGGCTTAATTTTTACCAGGAATGTGAAACCTTCGACAAAAAAAAGGGTTCGGGTACAGGAATAAAATTTAAAATGACCCGGGTCCGGGTTCAGGGAACATGAAAATAAAGACTCAAAATAAGATTTTTTTTTCTTTCATTTATTATTATACTTCATTATATACATATTCTTAATTTACAAATGAAATAATTTATATTTTTAATGTTTTATTCTCGCACAATCATAATATCTTCTAAAACATTGAGATTTCCACGTAAAGTAGACAATATATATTTCAAAGATGAAAATTCACTTTCTACCCTTAGATAGTTATCTTTATAAAATTATTGTACTTGTGTCGCCAGTACAGCCATGAAAATTCTAGATAAATATAATTCTGGATATATTGAAGAATTTTCTTCCCAAAATTTTAAAATTTTTTATTCTCTTAACTTCTGAGAACTTTACTATTAAAGATGCAATAGACATTTTTTGATCCTCCTTTCTATCTGATGATAATTTGATTTTTTTTCAATCTAAAAGTAAAATTTCAAGATCATCAATGTTGCTATCATTATTATTATCACTATAACCAATAGGTATTGTTGTAGCCTCCAATATATTGTAAATAATGGAGTTTTGTTTATGCCATAAATCCTTAAGATGGTCTTTAGCCATTTGTTTTTGCTCAATACTCAATAAAACTTGATATCGAGGGTCTAAATATATAGAAGCGTATAAAACACTATTTTGCAAATATTGTTGCTCTTGAATTTTCATGTTTTCTAATATTTCGTATAAAAAGGACTATTTTTCTAAACTGATCGGCATTTAATTCATATACCTTAAAATCAAAAATCTTAATATTGTTATTTTTAAAGGAACTAATACACTAGTAAGGTCCTTTATTTGGCACCAACCATCTTCCGACAAAATGACTTCACATGCTCCTATAATAAAATAATTACTGAAATCTTTCATACTTAATAATCGTTCTAGCATCATACAAATTGAGGACCAACGTGTTGTTCATTGTTAAATTAAAATATTATTACTTGTACTATAAAATAATTCACTTTCAAACCTATTAATAAATTTACATAATAAAATATTATTACGGAAAATAATTTATGATATCAATCTCTAAAAAATGGAAGTCCAGGAAGAAAATTGAAAGAAAAACTTAAAGATAAAATAAATGATTCCACAAAAAGGTTAATAAAATTTAAAAAAAATTATATTATTTTTTAAAAAAATATTTATATTTTTATAATTTTTATGACATGTAGAACCCTTGGACTCTCCACTTTTAAAAAGGGTCCTAGTTCAGCCAAAATACGAGGGTTCGGGTTCACATCCCTGATTTGTACGTACTATATTGAGCAATTTTATGAATTTCTAAAAAATTTCATATATTAAAAATTCATTAGTAAATATGTTTTTAATTTTATATTATTAATTAAAATGTTCGGGTCAAACTCAGGCCTAAAAATAAATTAAAAATTTGGGGTCAAACTAACCCCTCATTTATAGTAAGGACGATTTGCTCAAGCGATAGGAAATTTATCGCTGCGTAATTTGCAAGGCAAGTCAGTAATAGGTATAATTTATAAACGTAGCAAAAATCGCGCTAGCTGTTTACGTATATTTCAAAAAGTATTATAGCTGTGGCTAATCAGTTGTGATTTTGCTATCTATCAATTTCCCAACACTTAAGCAAATCACGCTTACTATAAATGCAGCGTAACCCCTCATTCACAGTTGGTACGAATTCGCAATGAAGTATACAAAATATGCTGTGTTTTTATATTTTTCGCTTCAGATTTGCGTTAATTGTGAATGAGGGGTTAAGCTAAAATCAAATTAGGGTCTGATTTATTGGTAAAAATAATAAATTATATTTGTAAGGCCAGATTTTTAGAACTTGGCCACCTCAATTGTTAAATTCTATGAATTTTGTTACATTTGGGTTTAGCGTATAATGGTTTGTATCAAAGCACTACTTACACTACCAAGATTTATATGATTTTTTCTCTCTAATCCACATTTACCCCTTCCAAAAATATTTATAAGACAAAAGATTTTTAAAATCCTTACACTAACTACCCCTCCCACCAAGGATTCATTTTACATTCAAACCTTCTTTAAATTTTGTAACCTCTTTCCAATCAAGATTACTAGTTCACCAATTGCATTATATAAAATAAAGCCGATGGCTCAAGCCAATTCATTCATTCCATTATTTATTTATCGAATATTTAAATTACAAAAGCCAGGAGAGTGTGGAAAGACTATTTTCCAGCTGTTGATGGTGTCGTTTTTTTAATCGATTCTTGTGACCGATCTCGTTTCATTGAATCAAAACACGAATTAGACGTGAGATGCTACCATACATAAATTTTATTATATTAATGTTTAAATGTTTCGTTATTTTTCTTTTCTTTTTAGTTATATTTTTTTATCTCAATTTGTTTCCTTACCTTTCCTATTTAGAGCCTCCTAACGGATGAACAAATAGTTAACTGCCCTATCTTAATACTAGGCAACAAAATCGATAAACCAACTGCTGCCAGCGAAGATGAAATCAGACATTACTTTTGCCTGCACGGTCAAACAACTGGAAAGGTTAACAATATATTTATTTTTTTAAATATGAAGAAGAAATAAATAATTTAACATGTAAATATACTAAGAAGAATTTACTGTAAGCCAAAGTTGTATTAATTTTTTTCGTATAGAATTGAAAGCTTTTTATAAATATTTGTAAAAACATGGTTTGGATGATAACTGATAAGAGCTCGTAAATGCAGGGGGGGGGTATTGGATTTGTCAAATTGTTAAAGCTCGATAAATGGATTCATTAAAAGACAATATATTTTTTTCATTTTTTGCTTCAAAATTTCTACTTTCGACGTTTTTGTAGAGATTCTTCAACATCTCTTGGAGACATCATTGGTTAATTAAATAATTGCTAGTCGGTATAGGAGTTACATTTTTACAACCATTTAAGAACGAAGGTATTGTAATTTATAGCTATAAGTGAATTTATCCATTTCAATTTCAACGTCTAAAGAGCCATATTTATCTTGGATTTTATCAGGATAATAAATCAATATACGATGAATCTGACACTAAGGTTAGTTTGATGTTTTCGCCGTTAATGAGACGTTTGGTTAGTAGTTGAATTTGTTACATAAATGATGCGCTTAAGAACCTTTACAATTGAAATAAGGTATATCTGTCATGCTTAACTACAAACACGTTACTTGATCGATAGTGTAGAAAATAAAGCAAACCAATAAAAACAATGAAACTCATTGTTGGAAAAAATGAAGCAGATGGTATAAAAAATTTCTTAAAATTTTTAATATAATCAATTATAAACTTCAATTAATGAATTATTGATCTTTTTAAATTGTGATGTTAGGCATTAAATAACAAATTCGATTGAACTAATATATAGCTAAGCTGATCATAAATTACTAATAAATCAATTAGATTAAAGGTCAAGAGGTTAGATTATCTCTAATTTAGATTTTATAAATAAACTTATTAAATACAAGGGATATAATGATTTTAAGTGTAAATTTGAGTTCGATTTTTTCAAATCGTTGTCTAGACTTTAAAATGCTTAGTTATATAAAGAAAAAAACTTGTTTTAAACTTTTTATTCCACCTTGGTCTGATAAATTTGACGAGTAGGGTTGGCTAAGATCTCATCGTCAAAAACCATATATAAAGGGAGCCGAAAACAATTAAATATGGGCTTTAAACGATCTCCGTCTATTTATTCACAAGAAATAATTATATTTTGTAATATTAGTGATTTTAATCCACTAAGTCTAGCCAAGTTTTGGGTCGAAAAAATCGGCCCAAATCTATCTCGGCGAGTGTTTCAATTCACTTTAAGATCGAAATTTATATAATTATCTTGTATTGATATAGAGTCTATTTTTTTTACCAATTGTTTTATTCTTAATTTGTAAATATTTTATATTTTTACTTTGCTAGAGATCTGTATCAGGCCTAAATATTAAATCCTGCCCAAATATTAAATCCTGCCCGAAAAGTTTGACCCTATTTTAAAAAAATTTGTCATAGCCCGAACCAAAATTTTATTTTTTAAATAGACCCAGACCAAAGTTAATTCGGGTCGGGCTTTACAGGTCTACTTTGCACTACTAACTCGATTCATGACCGAAATTATGAACATGAGGACGAGTATTTCAATTCAATATTAACATCGAATTCGAAATAATTGTCTTGTATTAATAAAATGGAATACTTTTTTCACCAATTGTTCTGTTCCTAACCTTTAGATATTGTATATTTTAATTTCCACTACCCCCATAACCTTACCTGGTTAGTTGACTTGAGTTGGCCATTTTACACTAGTTTCGATATCTTTATTTGCTTCCAATATTTTTATAGGGTATAATATAAATAAACAATATTTATGCATTTGGGCAAAGCAAAATAATTGATTAAATTATTTTGATTTTAATGCTGAATTAAGCGACTCGAGTTCACGCAAAAAACAAAGTTTTTATTTAAAAAAATTAGGTTTTTACCAAAAAATTAGGTAGGAGATCTTCCATATTTTTAATTTGAGGTAATTATGAACTAATCATTCTCGAGTTCACGACTCGAGTTGTAAACTTAGTTAGTCCACTACCGACTCTGAATGAACTCAACTATTTAATAACTTTATATTTTATTTTTTGCAAATCTTTCTTACAGTGCAAAATTCCTCGACAAGAAATCCAAGGAAGACCGTTAGAACTTTTTATGTGCAGCGTTCTCAAACGACAAGGCTATGGGGAGGGTTTTAGATGGCTAGCTCAATACATCGACTAAACCAATAATATATGTATCGAGATACCGAATATTTGTGTAAAATATCTTAAAACAAACAAAATTTATTTATAAAATAAAAATGTATTCCTTAAATCGATATTATTTTATCATTTTCCAATTATACCGGTTGCAACTATAAAAAAACACAACCATTACTAAAAGCAAAAAGCACTTCTAAATCGTTGATTTGAAACTGAAACATTTTCCTCAGCAATATCGAAATACTTATTTTAGATATCTATATAAAGCATTTGGTTATTTCACTTTATACTATATTATCATTTAATATATTGTATCATAATTTGATAATGTGATGAATGAATAATAAATAAATTTATATTCCAACTGACTAAACTCACATGAAATTGTAATAATGGAATTGATAAAAGAGATTAATGTAGATGAGTGAAGTATTTTAATAATGAGAAATGATTGTGTGAATTAGGAATGAGATGTAAATGACGAGAAAATGAACTTAATAGTGGTAGAAAAATAAATTGAGATTATATTTTGTTGATAGAATAAATAGACCCAATTATATTTTGAATTTACATTTTGTAAATATATTAAAGTTCTAAGTGTGCAATTTCACCAAGTCAATGGGAAATTGGTAAATTAATAAATTCGCAAAATTCTTAACATATACTTTATTTTACTTTTTTTAAATATATATGTTAGCGGCAATCTGTTATTTTGTTAACTTTAAATTATTTCTTGTACCGGAAATGTTCCAGAATGTTTAGAATGCCTATCTTATCAATTTTAGACAATTTTGTTGTTAACCTTTGAGTCATTTTTAAATTATATAAAAATCTATGAAAAAACTAATATAAATTATATTTGGTTAAAAATTTCATGGCAAAATTGTCTGGAAATCATAGGGTAATTCCAAACTAGTAGAATACATTTCCGGTAAAATCAGATTTTTAAATTAAAAAATTCAAAAAATTATTTAAAGTTGAAAAAATAACGCATTGATATTACAAAACTAAGATTTATAATATAATATGACATTAAATACATTATATTAAAACTACTAGACCAGGTTCATGTTTCCATCTATTTAGTTTATAAAATATGTATGGCAATAACAAAACCTATCTAAGAGTGGTGTTATAGTTTTATTTATAAAGAGTTGGATTAGGGTTTTATAGGGCAATAATAAATCGGAAACAAGGTATGCTAAACGTTCATGTAGCAAGAGTAAATTTTTTAGATCATATATTACTAATATAGATGTAGTAGTCAAAAAAGATTTTTTTTTTATTGTGCACATAAATACATGTTATCAGATATTATGTAATTTAGATATACATTTGGACAAAAGCTCATCGTTTAGAAGTATGGAGCACTTATATGGTTAGGTTGCATTTCATTTTTTTTCATTAGAAAAATAAAACAACTTAGAGTGAATAATGGCTCAAATAGCAATCTATGGAAAAACATACAGAGATTACTACGAAGAGATAGACGGATTTACATCGCAAAGAAAGCCTTTGATATTGAGAAAGACATGAAAGAAAACAGAATTTACGAGGCTTACAAAAAATTAAAATAATTCTGTAAACCTTACAGTTTTAGAAAACTCCCCTCTATAGTTTTAGTGAACAGCATAGTAATCATTGACCAGAACGAAATTGCATTATGGCTTGATCATTATATGGTGGTCTTCGACTCACGAAAAGCAACTCTACCCACAAATATAAACATAAGGCCCGCCCTATCCCCGTCTGGTTTCCTCAATAATGAAAATCCAATATCAAAAAATTACGGAAAAACAAAGCTTCGAAGTAAATTTTGATATAATATAAAATCACGTTAAATCGATTTACAACAAATAAAAATTTTAGAACAATATCAAAAAATTACGGAAAAACAAAGCTTCGAAGTAAATTTTGATATAATATAAAATCACGTTAAATCGATTTACAACAAATAAAAATTTTAGAACTTAATATAAAATATCTTTAGGATATAAAAAGAATAAAAACTAATCGATGAACAAAAAATCAATCACTTTAACATACTACCCACCAAAGAAACCCTGCTTAGGATCACCTTGGACGTGTGATTGAAATGTTAAAAGTATTAAAAATCATTATCTGTTCTGCCATCATCATAATAGAAATAGTTGGCCATGTCAAACTTTGATCTTGGGCTCTCAAGTTAAGTAGATCTTGATACATGTAGTCCCTTTTTATCGATAAATCGTTTTTGTAGCTCTGCCTAAGTTTGACGATCATACTATGAGCTTTAAAGACTTTATCTATAAGTCCCTTAATAGTTATGGTTAATTTATTTCTCTATGGCCACTTGATATTGTGATTTGGGCATCAAAATCCTTCATGAATTGTTTGACGTTGTTTCCAATGATTCTACCTATTTAATTATTGCATGCCAAAATTGAGAAAAATCTATCTTCTACCTTCTGTTTTAGCTTCTTGAATCATTATTTCCAAAGTTTTTTTGCATACATCCATACAAACTTTTAATGATCCAACGATCATGATTGTCTGACAGTCATTGGTTAGTGGTGTATCGCTAGGCTTTAACATAGAGTTTTTTTGCATCTGGATTGACTTTCTCCAACACTTGGATCCTTGCATGACTTTGTTGAGTAATGGTCCTAATAGTTTTCATTTTCTACCAATTATAGCTCCGATCATTTCACTAGGAACTGATATCTTTAGAGGAAATTCAAAAACTTTCGGTTTAATATATTTAGCATTTTGACTATTAGTTTTGTAGAGGGAAGATATGCCCTTTTTAGTACACTTATTATTACTAGAGAAGAAATTGGCCTTATCTTTCCATAGGTACTATAGGTGGAATCGTGTTAAGCGGCATGGCGTCATGCATCAGGTGAATCTTCACTTGCTTGATTATTTTAGATTTGTCGGAGAGCGTTGACTCAATGTCTTTTTCATTTTTGAAATTATTTCTTGAAGATCATCGTCTAACTTACCCACAATAAATGTTTTTAATATATTTCTAAAAGCGTGGAGCCATATGCATCCTAGCACGGGGCACCTGTAGCCATCCACCACTTTGGCTTCCAGCATTTAGATATTGCCTTCTACTCTGACTTTAGCTAAGCCTACTATCTTAATAGAACTGCCGTCATATCCTGCAAGCTTTGCATCAGTCTTACGTGTCGTAGTTACCACTACAGCATTTGCTGTATGCCTTGTATAACTGGTGCCGGTCCGCTTGAATCACCGTGGACAAGTTGATAATTAGAGTGATGTTGTACACACTAAATCTTCTGTCGTTGACCTCCAGATTGTTCACGTTCAGAAGACTGCGACTGAGAGCATCGATCTTTATTATTATGTTCGTGTTATGGGCTGTTGTGGTAATTGAGCCTTGGTAAAGAAAACCATTGCTATTTTGGATGTTTAATCTGTGGTATTCGCGACTTGGACAGTTGTATTGATTGAGATCTCTGTTGTTATCATCGCGTGGATATTAGTTTTGATGATGGTCAAACGACCTTGGCAGTTGTCATAACGATTGTTGTACGGAACATGTTGATGCTAGGTGTAGATGGAGTATCTTACTGGAGATTTATCATATTCATTTGTGTCCTGCTTAGGGTTCTCGGCTCATAGCTATTCTTAGCCTTTCACAGGTGATTTATCTCCACTTGCATTCGAGCCACCTAAATTTTTAGCATCAACCTTCACCATGAGCTTGATTTTGACTCCATGATCTCTCCCTCTAGATCTAGGTTGTAGATATCCTTTATGGTCATGGTGTTCTTAACTATTCTCCTAATCTCTTTGGAAATTGTGACCACCCTTACTTTTTCAATAATGAGTTGAATATTTCTGAATTTGCATTCTTTTTTAGTCTGACGATGCACGTGACCCATTCAGTATACGTCTCTTTCTGGCTTTGCACGGCAACATGGAACCCGGAGAACTTGGCGGATGTTGTAATATAAATTTACCAAGAAGAGCGATGGGGTCCAAGATGTCTGCTTTCGTTCAGATCGTCCAATAGTGTTGAATTTATTGTAAGGTAAGCTTTGCAAAAATAGAGCAGGCTCGGTGGAAATCTTGCTGGTGTCGAAGAACCTTTGTAATTTCCCAGAGGTGTCGTCGCTGCTAAATTTTGGAAAATCGAGTTTTAAAACGGTGGTGGAAATGGAATTGTTTGTTGCGTCCATGTTTTTTAGTGCGTTTTCAATAGTAAAAGAATTTCGTTTGAATATGTCCGTTATATCTGTTCCAACAAAAAATGCATAGGAAGGTTGAAACTAATATTCACCCTAAATAAAAGATGCAAATAGGTTGGATATCATTTATTGAAATAATATAAGGTCAATATATATTTTATTATTACATTTTTTTAGATCAAGATTTTATGAAAATCTAATTTTTATATATCATTATAAATTGTTTACCTATTACATTTTATAATAGATTAATCTAAATGTACAGTAAAAATTATCATTTATGTGATAGTTATATATGTTAATGGATTATTCTGTAAAAACAAAAGTTATATAACGTTTTAAAAAGAAATAATAAAAAATCAATCGCTAAAGTAAAAGAGACACTTTAAGGTAAAAGCAAATTTTGATATAATAAAAAATCACGTTATATCGTTTGACAGAAAATAAAAATTTTAGAATTTTAATATAAAATATATTAACGATATAAAAGAACAAGAACTAATCGGGCACTTCATATGTACTTAACATATTATATAAATGAGTACTACAGTCTCGCCTCGCCTTAAAATATATTAAATATGAAATATACAAATAACAACATCCAACAATTTAATAAAATGTAATATAAATTAATTATCATATTTCTTTTAATATATTAATATTTGGTTTAAATCTTTTAATATAATTATATTGAAAAAGAATATTAAAATTCTTAAAATTTTAATTCGTAAGTTAGCGTATTATTATTTACAAAAATATTTTCTTCTTTTTATTTTAAAACATTATATGTGTTCCTTAGATTATTACTTAAAAAGTAAACTTTATTTTATTTTATTTTTTATAAAAATTGAAACAAATTATGAAATGACTAGATTTTAATTTTTGATGTATTGAATATTTGTCGAATTAATATTGGCTAAAGCGGTGTAAAAAATTGAGCTTGTATAGGACAAAAAATGGTAGGACAAACCTTGTGATCAATATTTTGATATTTCTTGAGATTAATTTTTTAGCTAGATTGCAATATGTTATAAATGGCTATATTTTATTTATAAAATGATATGTGTT